CACACACACACACACACACACACACACACACACACACACACACACACCCCCTCTGCAGTGTGGGCTCATAGACAGACCCCTGGGCCTGCTCAGTTGCTCAGATCATGTAACATCAGTTTTGGAGAAGGGGTTATTCCTTGAAACCATCCCTCCACTGCTGATGGAGCTGAAGTAGCTTAAGTAACTCTTGAACTATTAATTTTTGAAACTGGAACTCCTGTGTTTTTGTTCTTCCCCTCCCGCTCACAGACCGTATTTGCACATGTATGTATATGTACATGCAGACCATGTAGCATAGTAGAAAAACCCTGAGTTGGGAATGTGTTCTTGGCTCTGCCCTTACCGCACGATGTGACCTTGGACGAGTTTATTTGTGTCTGATTGTTTTTGGTCGACTTCCTCATTGGTACAGTGGTGGAATTGGATAAAGACGTAGATGACATGTTTGTCAGATGTGGAGGGATTTTCACACTGGATTGGCAGCCGGTTACAAAAAAAGATCTTGCCAGCAAGAGAGGCAGCCGTGCTGGTGAGAGGAGTGGAGACCTTCCAAGGAGAGGGTCAGTTGTTGGAATTTGTCATGTGAGGTGTAGAGAAGAGGAGGCTCTGTGGAGACATGGCGACGTGTAGAGGGCTACGGTCTGTTCTCTTTGGCCTTCAGGGGCAGAGCCGGGGCAGTGGGGGATGGAGAGGTGACTGGAGGAATTGCAAAGAAGCCAGTTTGTTAGAAGAAAAAAGTTCACTGAGATTCTAGATCATCAAGAGGTTCTTGAGTCCAGCCCTGTCATTTTACAGATGGAGAAACCCAAGCACGAAGGAGCTTGGTGACTTGGTCAGGGTCATAGCTGTAGTGTCTAAGGTTGAGTTTGGACTAGAGTCTTCCTGACTCCTGAGTGTCACTGTAATGCTCAAAAATCCTGTCAGGAATTTAGGGTTTTATAGATGTTGGAAATGATTGCATTGAAATGGCCAGTTGAAGAGGTAACATATATCTGCTGCTCCTCTCAAAGTCCTGGGATGTCAAGACCCCTCAGAAGATCGATAGCCACAGGGGCAGCTGGGTTGCGCAGTGGATAGAGCACTAGCCCTGGAGTCAGGAGGACCTGAGTTCAAATCCAGCATCAGACACATAACACTCACCAGCTGTGTGACTGTGGGCAAGTCACTTAACCCCAATAGCCTCACTTTTTGCTTGGCAAGACCCTACTGAGATGACTGTCTGAGCCTGCCCGAGGATGGTCCTCACAGAGAAGGACTCTTACTAAAGGGCCTAAAAAGGAGGTTGAAATAAAACCTTTCATGGGCCTTGTGACACAACAGTTGCCCAGTTTATAATTCCAGATCCTGAGTGATCTAGAAAATGTACTGTCCTTATAGAAGAGAGGCTGTCCTTTTGGAAAACCAGTTAGAATGAGAAAGCAGACATGGTCGTTTGAGTTCTAAATGTTGAAGAGGCTGTTGTATGTTTCAGAGTTCACTGGCGCTCCGACTCTGTTAACCAACAAGGTGTAGTGTCAGATCACCTGTACTCCCCTCTGAAGACAAGTCCCTACTGCTTGAAAATGGTGAATATCATGTCTTAGCTGGTGCTGTAGGTGTGTGTCAAGTTGAGACTGGAGGCCAAGAATATGGACTTGTGAGAGAACTGGAGATAATGGACTTACTGGTGCCAATTTTCAGTTTCTCTTTCCCTATAAAATAAGTTTCCTTTAGGCTCTACCAGACTGACTTAATTGGGTGAATTTTTCTTTGCCATAGGTGAAGCCAGGCACCATAATTTTTATGTGGGGGTGGGAAAAAGGAAGACTAGGAAGGTTGATTGAAGTTGGGAGACTGGTATGACGGGGTACTGAAGGCAGAAGATGCCCCAGGGGTCTACTGGAGAAGTGATAGTGACAGGTTGGGAGCTTTCTATGGAGAAGGGCCCTGGGGGCCATCTAGTCCCACTCCTTGGTGGCCTTGAGGAGTTGGTTTAGGGACAAGGGTTTTGTTTTTTCCATTTCTGGGTCTGGTTTATTGAAAAATATAAAGATTTGGGAAGGTACAAATGAAGGGCAGGGAGGTCACCCCAGGGGCAAGTTTTACAAAGCAGAATTTCAGCGTTGAAAGGGAACCTGAGAGCTCAGCCTGTTTTGCATTCTCCTGTGCACTGGGAACATTCAAGTCAGCACACATTGAGATAAAGGTCTTCCAAGTGGCCTTCTAAAAGCCTGCGAGCTGGCAGCTTGGTTGTGCCAGAGTGTGGGCAATAGTGGCTGCTTGCCTGAAGCCTCTGGTTGGTTCAAGCAGGTGCTGTTGTCCAGTCTTTAGAAGGCCGGGGCCCAGTTTGCTGACTCGATCTTTTCTTCCAGGGCCCTTCCCAGGACTTCAGAGAGAAAGGGCTGGCTTGGTCTCAGGCCATGCGGGTTGGAGGAGGGAAGGAAAAGCTGACCCTGACCCATTCTTCTTCTATTATCTTATTCAGCAGT